GCGTTCCTCTGGGGGTGCGGAAATCAGGCATAGCTTTCCGCTTAATCACCAAGAGCCTGTTCTTTTCCCCTGATGGCCTGAGTGTGTCTAAGAGGCTGTGGCCTTGGCAGCAACCTAACCTGAACATTTAGGTCAGCGTTCCTGCCACCGGGGCCTTTTGCCTGCCCAGGGTCCTGCTTCAGCCCCAGCTGTTCCTGTGCCCACCCCATGACTTCTTGGTGCTTCGGGGTGGAGCATAGCAGGGGCGCAAATTTGGAGGGCAGACCTGGGCTCACATAGAACTGAATATCCTCCTGGAAACTGCCAGAAGAGGAGCCAAATGCTCCTTCTTCAGCCCTTGTGACCGTGAAGTGGAATGATGGCTCAGGAGGCCTGGGCAGGCAATTGACCCACAGCAGGCTCTTAGAGTGGGCAGCTCTGGCCTTCTCTGCCGCTGTTGCTGCCTGTAGGTTGGTGTTGTTATTATTACATGGGTGTTTTAGTATGCAGCCAAGCTCCCCACTGTCATACTCTGTTAAATGTCCCCAAATGCCATGCCCTGGCCCCTGCTTCCCTTCACCCGACCCCATATCTACTTACGGTTCTATTTTGGGAAGAAGTGGGCCCAGAATAGTTTCCCCTGGGCCTTGGATCTGAGCAATTCCAGCCCCTTCTGGCTGTCCCTACTAGCTCCCAGGCCCTTCCCCTCCCAAGATAGGTAGGTAGTACTGGGTGACCTCACAGATCATCAGTGTGGTGGCAAATGTGATGTCACGGGGTCTCTTTGGCTCCCAAACTGCCCGGATTCCAGCCTTCCCTTGGGACAAGTGCAAAGAGAGCTGGCAGGCTAGTGCTGAGGGTTTGAAGAGTTCTGGACAGAATGTTCCACTGGAGGCTGAGGCTGCATTCTGCACACTCCCTCTTTTCCTCCGAGCCCTGGACACAGGCTGGGGCATCCCCGGGCCCCAGCATTTCCTTCCTCTAAACAGCTGCCCACAGATGCATTTTTTTTTTACCCCAACACAGCCTCCCTGCAGGCCACCAATGCATTCTACTAAAGAGCCCCAGGCAGGTGTCCCAGCCTCCCAGTTGTCCAGGACGCGCTCACCGTCAATCACTCAGCATGGACACAGGGAGGGAGAGGGCGTATGTATCTGGGAATACTGAAGAAAGGACCTGCAGCTTCCTTACCCACCCCGTGGTTCACAGCAGATTCAGGAAGTTCTCTACTATCACTCCGCAGTTGCTCCCATTTTCCAGTCTTCCTAGGGAAGTTCAGGGAAATAATCTATTCTGACTGGTGACCCTACCTGTGAGGTCTGCTAGGCTTTAGGGCCCCATAAGTGGGGTCTCTGCTATCTCTCTCTTTGCAGTTGCTCCCATTTTCCAGTCTTCCTAGGGAAGTTCAGGGAAGTAATCTATTCTGACTGGTGACCCTACTGGTGAGGTCTGCTAGGCTTTAGGGCCCCACAAGTGGGGTCTCTGCTGAGTGGGGCTAGGAAGATGGCTCAGTAGATGAAGTGCTTGCTGTGAAAGCATGCAGACCAGAGTTCCATCCCAGCACCCTGTCAAATCGGGCAGAGCGCTGCTCGCCTGTAATTCCTGCACTGGGTGGTGACAGAAAGAGCCCCTGGGCTTGCTAGCCATCAGAGTAGCCAAATCAGCGAGGTGGAGAGGGATAGAGGGAGATACATGATGTTGGTCTCTGGTCTCCACGCATATGCACTTGAGTACACGCACACCTATACACACACAAAATGACTGAGAGACCGAGGGAGCCTGTGAGGACACAAGGTAGAGCTCAAATGCCGGCTCTCTTCCTCTGGGCATTGCAGTCTTTCACTGTTCACTTGCCTCATCTGTGAGACAGTGACATGCACTTCCCAGGATGCCGGGAGGGCCGGGATGGAAGCCGCAGAACCTGGTCCTCAGTCTGTTGCACACCAAGTGACTGTTCTTGCTTTAGCCTTGGGAAAAGGTGTCTCTAAATCATGGCTGGCAGTAGGAGGAGACAGTGGAGGCGGTTAGGGTGCAAAATGTGAGGAGGCCTGGCTCTCAGGGGCAGAGGCACTGTGCAGAATGCGGTGTGTGTTTTGGGGGGCGGGGCGGTGTGCCGCCTCCAGTTTCTAGACCTGGGCTGGCAGGCGTTAGGGCCTCCTGTGTGAGTCCAGTGTTGTCCTTGTTTAGACTCCACGTGACTCAACCTTATGTTGCTGACCTTGGGATGTCAACTGACCCCAGGAGAGGGACAGTGAAGTGAACTTGGCACTGGGTTCTGTAGGCCTGGGTCAGCTTGGTCCTGTCTTGCATCTTGTTCAAGATACTGGCATGTCTTCCGTCTGCACCTCAGTTCCGATCTGTGGATCAGGGAGCAGGAGGAGGTGGTGTTCCAAGGCTCTCTAGTACGTGCCTTGAGAGTGGCCTGTGAGGATGTAGTGTGCATGTGTGCGCAACACGTGCACACATTCGTGTGTGTATACATGTGTGCGTGTGGTTTAGAAAGGTCCTGCCCTAAAACTGAACACAAATGAAAAGCTTTCTTATGTCCAGGGGACCCGAGATGCTGCTGTGTTGTCAGTCAGTTCTGTGTATGATTAGGGTATCAGAGAAGGGAGCAAGGAGACCGTTCATTCCACAGAAAATTCCCGAGGGCCCACAGTGTGCCAGGCACTGTTCTCTGCTCAGTGTGGGCATAGTTCATATTCTAGTGAGAGGCAGGCTCTAAAGGATGTTAGTAAATATAAAACAGAGTGTTGGAGAGCAGTGTGTTCTAAGAAGAAAAATCAGGGATTAGCGAGATGGTGCAACACTTAAGAGCACTACTGCTCTGAGAGAGGACTTGGGCTCGGTTCCTAGCTCCCGCATTAGGTGATTGGTAACCCCAGTTCTAGGTGAGCTGATACCCTCTTCTGGGCTTGCACACAAGTGGTGCACATATGTACACACTGGTGCACAGACATACATATAAAATAAATAAATACCATTTTTTAAGACTAAAATCACCCAGGGAGGGTTAGTGTGTATGTGTGTGTTTGTGTGTGTGTACGTGCACGTGTGTACGCGTGCCTGTCTGCCTAGTTGCATGGGGACTTGCACTTGAGGTATAATCAGGGCCCCACAGTTCTCTGAGGCTGCTACTTCTGAGTCCCCAGCTGCCCTGGAGAGTCCCTAAGAGCTTCCCCATTGTGCCACGAAAGCTTGGATGGCCTTAGCTGCCTCTGGGCCCAATCCCTGTACTTTCCCATCCCCAGGTAGTCTAGACTAGGGTGGGAGGGATGTATGCATGCTGGGCTAAGGTTATGAACCCTGCAGGGCAGTCTGGGTGTTTGGAAATTTTTAGCTCCTCGGGAGACATGTGGGACAGTGTGTTGAAGGCATCTGACTGCTGTCGATTCTTGCCTGTGGCTGGCCTCCAGCTGGCAAGAGGAAGGAGTGGGGGCCAAGGGGACAGCGCTCAGATGATCTCTGGCAGGAAGGGTGCGTTTCTCCCACTCTGCTGAGGCCTGTAGTTTTGTACTAAACTTTATGACTTGGAGAAGGCTGGGCACTGGTCTGAGTAGGGCAGGGTGGGGGGGGGTCTCCATGTCGGTGAGAGGGTAGCATTAAGGGCTAACCAGTGCTGGGAGCCAGACCCTCTTCTTACGGGGGCCTTTATCCCATTCACTCAATATATAATTACTCCAGGTAGCTATGCAGGTGGGCAGCAAGTATGGGCTATGGTCACCCTGCTAACAGCAGAGTCAGGGTGCTGGCTGGGCACTCTGGTCTTAGAGCCATCCAGGACCCTGTTGGAGAAACACATTTCTGCTCCCTACAGCATGTGATGACTTAGAAGTTCTAGGTAGGTGGGACACCCAGTGCTAATAGCCTTTCAGGTGATCCCAGTCCCCTCTTGGAGTGGCAGGTAGAACTCTAGGGATGGTAGAGAGATGAGCTTGGCCAAGGAGTTCCCTGTCCCCCTGCCACCCCGTTCACTCTTCCGGACATTTTTAGGGTGAAGCTTCTGTGTTGATGGGGGTAGAGGGAGGATGGCTGGCATGGTCCATCCGTCCATGTTTGTGTTGACTTCTGGTCCCCCTGGTTCCTGGCATGAGGGAGTTGCTACCGAGTTGATCAAAATGTCACTATGATTACTTTGGATGAAGGCAGACCCAGAATCCAAAATCAGGGCAGTTAAGAGCATGTACTGCTCATGCAGGAGACTGGTGTTCAGTTCCCAGCATTCCCGTGGAATGGTTTGCAACCACCTGTAAATCCAGTTCTAGAGATCAGGTCCTACTGGCCTGTGTGAGCGTCTACACTCAGGTCAGCAAATCCACACATGGGTAGACACACATGCACATAATTAGAACAATACAAACAAATCTTAAATTCCCAGATGAACTGTGGTTGGAGGAGTGCAGTGTTACAGGGCCAGATTAGACCATTCCTTTAGGTGGGGAGACCAGTGGGTACCACCTGGGGTATAATCAGAGCTCCCTAGAGGAGGGAGGCCAGCAAGGAGGAGGAGAAGGCACAGTGTGCAGTGAGTGTGTGTGTGTGTGTGTGTGTGTGTGTGTGTGTGTGTGTGCGTCGTTGGTATTGAGGGTGGGGCCAGCAAGTCACTGCGGAGCTGGGGCTTGGGCAGTATTCAGCAGGCAGGCTCTGGCCCCAGGAGTCCGTGCTCTAACTTCTCTGTTTGCTGGGGCTAACAGGCCATGGTGGTCCCTGCCTCTGTGGGTTCTTGTCCCAGACAGACACAGTGGAAGTGAAGCCCTGGCTAACGGGAACAAGAGTGCTTTGGCCTGTTGTCCTCGTTTATTGAGTGGTGTGAGGCTTGCATGGCCAGGGTGGAACTGGTTGACTCTATGACTAAGAAGATTGTGTGTCATTTTGCAAATGCTGCTTCCCTAGCTTGGGACTAGCCCAGTGATGTATTGAAGCTCGGGACTGTGCCTCCTTACCACCCTGACTGCCGGCCTAGAAGGCAGCTGTGCCAGTATCTCTGTGACGCTCACACTATTTCTTGTTTTTGTCCCTAGCCCATCACCACGGAGAGCGTACCCAAGAATGTAGTGGATGTGGTGAGTAACAGTGGGCAGAATGAGGAGGTGCTGGGAGGGGCCTGCAGGGTGCAGGAAGGGCTGGAGCCCCAAGGAAGGGATGCTGAGGATCTTGGAAGCTGTGCCCAGCCATGGGCTGCATGAGTGAGGTCGAAAGAGAGGGAGCAGGGTGGGGCTGTGGAGGAAATCAATGACTAAGTCTGTCTGCAGGAAATATGCTAAATGTCTCAGGCCTGTAAAACAGGCATCCAGAAGACTGAGGCAGGAGGATTCCCCTCAGTTTTAGATCAGCCTGGAATACATAAGGAGACCTCTTTCAAACAAACAAACAAACAAACAAACAAAAACAAGCGTGGCCCCCAGGGTAACCTTCAATCAGGGGAGTGTCTGTGCAAACATGAATTCCTACGCTCATCCCCAGAAATGACCTGGGGAAAAAAATCCCAGTGTGGTGGCACATGTTTGTAACCCCAGGGCTGGGGAGGTAGATATGGAAACCCTTGGGTCTTGCTGGCTAGCCTAGCCTCTTGGCAAGTCCCAGGTTAGTGAGGGGCCCTGTCTCAAATCCTACCTTTTTTGAGAGGATAGGAAGGGGGAAGGACCTGTCTGCTTTAGTAATACAGGTTTGCAAAGGTGATCCACATGCATGTGCATGCACACGCCCACCCACACCTCCCCCACATGCATATGCACAAACACGCAATTCACACACTTGTATACACATATGTGCACACAAGGCACACACAAGGCACACACACACACACACACACACACACACTCAGACACTCAAAGAGAGCATGGGAGAGACAGAATATGAGAAAACTGGGCAGACTTCGCACTAATCTTTTGGACTATACGAGCAGAGTTTCCTCCAGGCTAGATGGAAGAGGATGAGAAGAATGTGGGGGACTCTGCAATGGGGGGGAAACTGAGGCTAGACGAGTTGCTGGATGGGAAAGGCCAGTTTGAAACCAAGGGGAGGAGGCAGAGGCCCTACCTGCGGGACTTCAGGTGAAGGAGAGCCTGTCTGGTCCTCAGTTTTCTCGTCTTCAAAATGGAATAACAGTGTCCCCAGGGGTGTGCCCATAGGAGAGGGTTTACCTTTCTCCCACGGACCTTTGAGTGGACAAGCCAGTGTTCAAGTAACGCAAGCCCCTCCCCGTGTCCCGGACCTTCTGCTACCCTTTCACCCTCCACCCTGACCCCAGCAGGTAGGCATTCCGGAACCTTGCACTGTTTGTCTTGCCTCCTCTCTGACAGCCTCTCCTCTGCCTACAGGGGGAAGGAGACTGCAAGGGTGGAAGCTCTCCCAGAAGCCTCCAGGAGGGCGTGAGTATGAGGAGGGCGGAGCCAAGTCAACTGTTTGCAGGGGGCATGAGCAGGAGTGTGTGTGCGGGGCGCCCTTAGATCTTCACAACTCTCTTGAAGGGAGCCTTCCCGGCTTGGCTGTAGTGTTGGGGAAAGAGAAGCCCACTCGTTGGGCTCAAGTCACTCAGTGACCCTGGGCTTCCTCACTATTCCGTGGTAGTTTTGGGTGGGGAGGAGCAGAGGGATAGGTCTGAGAGCTAGGCTTGGAAAGGGTGAGGGAAACAGGGCGCTGTAAAGGAACCCTGGGCTCTTAAGGTTCCCCTAGATGCTGGAGACACTGTTGGGGTGCTTGCCTGGAGCCAGGAGTCTTGAGAAATGGCAAAGGCGGTGTGACTTTTCTGCTTTTCATTTGGGACTCCGGAAGAGGGTTCTCTGGTCCTGGCTCATTTGGTCTTCAGTTTTACAAGGGCGGTCAGGGGACAAGTTCCTTAACCAGGAGGAACTCAGGCTAGGTCCGAGGAGCCCCTGGTCTCTGTTGGGGCTGGCTTGTCTCTACACCCCCGGCAGGCCCCACAGAAGACACTTCACTTTCCCTAGGCCTTTTCTGCCCAGTGCCCCATGCTGGCCCCTCCATCCACTGCAGGCCTGGAGAGGAACAGGGAGTGGTTTTGGCGGTTGGCACAGGGGGAGCTGTTGATGGCACGAGGCCCTATCATCTGACAGCTGCCTGGCCTCTGGTAGGGAGGGCCCCGCAGGGAGGGGCTGAACTGTAGCGGCTCCCGAGGGTGGCCCACCGACACTGCTGCACCATCTTGGGCTGCCATAGGCCCAGTCATAAGGAGTGGTGCTGTGTAGGGGCTGTGTGGACTCCTAGGTTGGGGGAAGGCTTCATGGAGGTATGTGAAGATTCCTGTTCATTGGTACTAAGGATGCATCCGAGAATTTAGTTTTGTATGTGTTATTGCAAAGAATGAACTAGCTTGAGGCACTCCGAGCTATGATGGGTGCTCGGCCAGTCTTACCGCCGTTATTTCTTTTAGGAGCCAGGAAATAGACTGGGAGGTTGTATGCCTTTGTGACAAGGTGTGTGGCAGGTGCTATGGCTCCGTGTTATAGATGAGGAAGCAGAAACTGGAGGTCTCCCTTGAATGTCTCTGGATACGCATCATCCAGGACTCTTAGCCCTTGGGACAAAGTGGTAGCCTCTGAGTCATCACTTTTAGGTGATGTTCTGGGAGTGTTTAGAAGTTATGTCCTAGGACTTCTGACTCTGCCTCCCTAGTCTGGGCCATGTGGAGTTCATCAACCGGAATCAATCAAGGTCAGACATCTAGAAGAGCTGTTGACCCTAGGGTGTGTTTGACCTTGGTTGTGTGGAAGAAAGAGGTGGCCACTTAGCTGTGGTTGATGGGTATCTTGTTTTAGTTTCCAGGGAAAACATTTGCTGGTACAGGATCAGCGAATCTGCAAGAGGTTGTGTGTCAGGGTGGGTCAGGGGTGGTGCCTCGTCAGGAGGGGAGGAGAACCGAGAAAATGAGTCTCACTGAAGGAGTGTGAGAGGGACAAGCAGGGGAGCAGACTCCAGAGGGGCCGGCTGCCTGCTGCAGAGGAGCAGAAACCCACCGCCCGGCTTCCAGACATCTGTCATAGGTGGGGTGACCCAGGGCTGCCGTGCCGGTACCCTGGCTGCATAGGGGCTCCTCTGTGCACTGGACGGGGGAAGGCGAGGCCGGCTCAGGGCACTAGCCTGTCAGTGGGGTGTTTCCTGCTTTGCCTCTCCAGGCAGTTACTCCGATGGAGCTGATGTGCAGGGAGGCTGCAGACGTGTGCAGTGTCGCACTTTGTTTTGGAAAAATCCAAGTGGTGGGCAGGAAGGGGGGGGAGGAAGGGGGGTGGCTGCAGGGGCCTGTGTGGGGGGCCTCAACCAGAGGAGATGCAGGAATGAAGGGCTGGGCTCTGGCTGCCTCACTTGACTCCTGGTGTTCATTGGCAGACCCTCCACTCACCGAGGACCCTGGGGACATAGGTTCAGGAAACAGTATTTTTTTTTCCTTTTCTGTCCAGAGGTATTTTGTTTGCTTCATGGACCTGAAGGGAAAGCAGGACTCCTCCCAATTTTTTAGGGGCAAACCAGCCCCACTGGGGATCCAAGGTTTACTCTGCTCTTGTTGCATGGATATGGTATGGGGGACAGAAGGTGGTAGCAAGTGTGTTCCCCCAGGAGGCAGACCTGAAGCTACTCCAGAATGCCCTAGTTATGATCAGTTCCTGCCTGCAGGGAGAACCAAGGAAAGAAAGAGTTGGTGCCCGAAGCAGGAAGGATGAGGGTTAGATATGAGGAGGAACATCCTGCCAGTGAGAAAAGGCACTCTTTGGGGGAGGCTGTGGGATCCCCTCTCATGAGGCCTTTCTGCCAAGGAGAAACATGCTTGAGAGATGAGGATGAGTGAGAACTTCTTGGTGCTTAGGGAGTTGGATCAGAAGTTCTATTATTGGTCTATCTTAGGAGGAGCTAGTAGGAAGTTAAGAGTTTCAAGATTCCCTAGAGGGGAAAAGAATGGGATTCCAGGCAGGCAGAGAATTTATTTTCTTTTTTAAAATAAACCTTCCCCAGGGACTCTGAGTGGGGCAGGTAAAAAAGATCACAGAACCCTGCTTGTGTTGTACCCATTTTACTGATGAGCACCTGAGACCAAGCCATAATGCCTCTTACCAGGTGGACTGACAATTATCTTTATTGTACAGAATGAGGGTGAGACTTGGACTTATCCACCTCTCTCCCAGGTGCCTAGAACATAGCTCCAGGAAATGTTAAATCAGCGAGGGAATGAATGTCTGCCATGAGGGGGATACAGACCTGACTCCAGGTCTCAGTTTACCCTGCGGTTTCATAGAGGGGGTCACCTGTGCAGGCACTGGGAGGAGCGTGTTTGCTCCTGGTTGCCCCTTCACTGTTCTCCTGCGCTCACAATGCATTCACAGTCCCTGTGCAAAGCCTGCTTTCTGCCAGCAAGGGTCATGTGTCCCCAAACCTTGCAGAAAACAGGAAGCCCTATTGGTGGGAGTGCAGCCCAGCCCTGTGATTCATCAGGGGGTGACAGTCCAGCTGTTGGTCCCGAGCCCCTGCCCAGGATAGCTTCCCCTGTGCATCCCTGCCCCGGCCCCCCTGCCGCAGAGTGCCTGGACCTTTCTTATCACCCCGGGAGGCGGCAGGGCCAGACTCTGTTTGGGCCAAGTATTTATCTTCCAGGCTGGAGTCAGGAATGTGGAGTGTTATAACCTTGGCCAGAGGGTGGTGGGGAACTGGACTGGAAGCCTGGTCTCTGGGTCCTGTGCATCCTTAGCACCGGGCCTTTGCAGGCTCCCGGCTCTGCTTGGCTCTCCAGTTCCTTCATCAGTCCCGGCTATTGGCCCATTGTCTTCCTCTAGCTCCTTGCTTGTGCCTGGCCCTGATCTTGGCCGCACCGTAAGCCTTGGCTAAGTTGTGGCTTCCAGTTGTTCGAAGCAGCTGTGGTGGCTTCCTTCAAAGAGTGGCCGTAGATCTGTAGCAGATGAAACCCTAGGGGCTATTTATAGCAGGGTGGCCCTAGAGCCTGGACCATGGCCCAGGGTCTGAGGAGAGTCAGGGCCTCCTCGTCAGAGACCAGTGCAATGGGATGGATGAAGTGTTGGCTTTCTGCATGCTTCGGGGTGGGGAGTTTTTTTGGAACAGCCTGGTTTAGGGTTTGAAAACCAAACACCCTGGTCCCCGCCTCTCCTGCCCTAGCCTGACTCACACAACCCCAAGTCCTAGGGCAGGAAATGCTGAGAGACTGAGAACCGTTCCTTCTGACTCCTCCTCGCACTGAGTTCTGCTGAACCCTTGGGAGCCCCACAGTGACAGGGTGGCTAGCCCTCCCTCCCGCAGTCAAGGGCCCTGACTCTGTCCTCCATGGGGAGCTGGACCTCAGCGTCCAACTGCATGTTGGGTGCAACACTCTCCACTTGGGCTCTGTGGCCAAGTCCGGGTCAGAGTTCGAATCCTGCTCCGTCATCAATTTCCCAGGGACTCAGGGGTGAGTCACCATGTGTCTTATGTCCTTTTCCTTTACAGGCGGTGGTCTTGCTGCCTCCCAAGGGAGGCTGCCATTTGGTGGCTGGGAAAGTGGCTCGGTGGAGCCCAGGAATTCAGAACTGAGGGGCTCCAGTTGGAATAGGTGGTGGATGCCGAGGGGGAGGGAAGGACATGTCATGAGGATGGACGGTTGTTCCTTTCCTTCCAGAAACTTCTCTTTCAGTTCTTCTTAATGAGAGAGCGACGGTTAAAGTGACAGCTGCCGTTGGCCAAGCGTCAAGCTCCTAGTGAGGAGGCTCCTAGCATGTTCTTGTGTGTTTGCTGTTTGGTTTTTGATTTTTGCTTGCCCACAGTGAACCATTGAGGGCTGGCTGGCCTGTCTTCCTGTGACATCCTGGTGACATTTGCCCAGGTTCAGTGGGCTAAGGGTCTCCCACGCTGCTCAGCGGGATGCTGGAGCCTCGTGCTGCAGTCTGTGTGGCTTGACCCCCCCACCCCCCGTGCTTTTGCTGGATGCCACTCCGCTGCCCTGCAAAGTCTGCGTCACCAACTTGGGTCTGTTTGGTTAATTTTGTGCCATCAATACCCTGGATCGGTGCGCGTGGGACAAGATAGAGACACGGAGCCTTAGATGTGTGGGGTCCTGGATGCCCGTTGCAAATCACCCACCTGCTGCTCTGTCTTATTCAGAGGCTCAGTGTTGTGGCTTTGGAGGAGGGGGAGTGAGGGACAGCAGTGACGGAGGACATGGATTCGGCGTTGGTTCTGAGGTGGACACTCTTCGCTTCCCTAGGTGGTTGATGTGTGTGCTCTCTAGTTGAGATTACTATTATGATGCCTGGTAATTAAGGGCATCCAGAACGTGTGTCCCCAGAGTAGGGGAGCCAGCCAGATGGCTCTGCCTTTATATCAGAGATTTCCTCTTTCCATCTAACCGGGTCTCTCCCACAGCAGGTACTTTCGGACTTTGGGTTTTTATGGCTGGGGTGTTGGGGTGTTAGGGTGGCGGGGATGGAGCATTGGCCAAGGAAGGGGTGAGGATCTCTGTGTGGCCATGCCCTGGACCCCTTTCTGCTCCTCCCTTCCTGCTCTCCCCTCTTCTTGTAATACCGTGTCTTCTCTTTTTTCCAGGACTCCATGAGAGTTTCGCCAAGCATCCACCCGCAGCCACAGCCTGCCAGGTACACTCGGTACAGTGGGAGGAAATGGGTTATGGGCATTCTCACGTCCCACCCTGAGTCCTGAGACTGATGCTGTACAGCCCTAGCGAGAGGCCTGGAGTTGGTGGCCCTCGGTTGTCATCATTGAGTTCCAGCACAGACCTCGAGGTGGACTCTATACTTCCCCACATAAGCTCATCCGTCCTTGTAATGGCACTGAAGGTCTGTGTATTGGCAAATCAGTTAGTTGCTGAGTGTCTGCAATGACTTGTTCAGGGTCACCCACTTGCCAGAAGCGGCACTCGGGGCTGACTCCCACCAAGGCCCGTGCTGGTTCTGACTCTGCGAATGAGGTCTTTGATTGTGGGGAGGACTTTGTAGAGTGAGCATTCTCCACCCAGGGAAGAGAACACACAGGGAGACTCCAAGCTCTCTACTTCACCTTCATTCTGAGGCTCCCTGGTTCCTGCCTAGAGCCCTTTGAGGACCCCTCCGACCCTGCTGTCTCTTCCTCTGCTTGGTACACTTGGAGCTGTGATACCAATTTTGTCCAGCTGGTGGTGCTACTCTGCTTTTGTGTCCTTCTTGGGACCCAGCCTGATAGAGGGGTCAGTAAGTCAGTCCTGTCCACTACTATCCTAGGATGGTCACTTCTAACTCCTTCCTGTTGCTCTCTTGGCTCCTCTTTTCCCTCTGCCTCTTGGAGGGAAAAGCTAGAAAGAAACGGGCTAGGTTTATGAGGTTTTCTGAGGCGAATGCAGTCCCTTTGTTAGAGCCAGGCCAAAGGCCTATGGCCAGTGGAGGGTCCCTGGGTTACTCTGTATCAACATTTGGAGTAAGTGTGCAGGTGGCATCTGGCCCCTGGGTAGTAGTCAGAGCTCTGGCCAGCGACTGCTGAGCTATGATAGGGACAAGGAGTGATGGGGATTCACGTCCAGTTCTAACTGGCGTCTACCCTACCCTGTCATTTCATCAGAGAGAGCTACCCTTGGCTACCCTCTGTCTACACACATCCAAACATCTGGGCCCGTGTCAACACCTAGGCTCCTTGATGTCCTGGGGCTTTTTGTCACCAAGGCCAGAGGATCTGCTGCTTTTAACCCCCTCCCTCCTCAACCCCATACTGCTATAGCATAGTGAAGGTTAGCGAAGCAAAGAGTGTTGCCCACCTTGGGTGGGGAGGGAGGATGTGGTAATAGGTAACGCAGGAAGGAGGATGAGGAGGAGGTGCCCCAGTAGGCAGCATGGACCCCTCCTCTCGTAGAAAAGCAGATGGCATAAAGCTGTGAGTTCTATGCTTCCCTCGCCTTGTGTCCAGGAGAGAGACAGAATTGCGGACCCAGGAGCTCCCCATTGCTCATAGGACCCCTAAAACTACTGTGGCAAACACCCAGCACCCTCTCACTTCTTTGGCCTTTAGGAATGAGGGGGCCCTGGGCCAAGAATGATCTTTGCAGGGAGAGCTGGGGACAGAGTGCAGGGGTCAGCCTGCCGTTGGGAGGCTGGAATGTGCCTGGCCTCTGACTCAGCTTGAGCCCATGTGAGCCTATCACCTGAGCTGCTCCTTTCCCCAGGGAGGTCTTCTCAGTTTGAGTGCATGGAGGTGGCCAGGGCTGTACTCCAGGATTCTGGGGAGCATTGCTCCCAGACACTCTTTCCCTTCTGGATCCTTTTAAAGACTTCCGTAGGGCTGAAGAGGTGGCTCAGAGGTTAAGAGCACTGACTGCTCTTCCAGAGGTCCTGAGTTCAATTTCCAGCAATCACGTGGTAGCTCAGACCGTCTATAATGTGTTCCTGTGCCCTCTTCTGGCATGCAGGCATACATGCAGGCAGAACACTATATACTTAATAAATAAATAAACCTTTTCCTTCCTTCCTTCCTTCCTTCCTTCCTTCCTTCCTTCCTTCCTTCCTTCCTTCCTT